AGTCTACATCAGTGGTTCTCAACCTTTCTAATGCCGTGACCCCATAATACAGCTTCCCATGTTGTGGTGACCCCAGGGGCGTGGCCACCGAGTGGGTGTGACCACTGAGTGGGTGTGCCCACTGAGTGGGCATGGCTACCGAGTGGGTGTGGTCACCAAGTGAGCATGGCCACTGAGTGGGCGTGGCTACCGAGTGGGCGTGGCCGCCAAGTGGCCGCCGCGGGTCCCATCGCCGCAGCAGATGCACAGCTGCCCTTCCTCTTCCTTGACGCAATCTTTCGCCCGCCCCAGTGACTCCCTCCCCTTTCTGGGGTCCAGGCATACCCTCCGGAACCCCGGTGTTTACCGACTGCAGGAAGCGCAGGGTGCCCACGTAATCCTGCTGGCGGTCCGTATCCTTTGCCAGTTCCAAAGGGAGAGTACTGGTGCCGGGGGCCACTGCCCCCGCCGCCGCTGCCACCGACGGCTCAGATACCGACCGCACTTCCATGGCTTCAGCCTGCCTCAGCTTCCAGATCATCCCGACCCCACTTTCCTCACTCCGTGGCCGGCTTTAGGCACCCTCCATCCCCGAGGCGCATGCCAAACGCACCACAAGGATCGAGTCTCCCGAGCTCGACCTACCAGCAGGAGCGTCGCGCTGGGACATGGCGAGGAGGCGGCGTCGGCAGCTAGGAGCAGAGCACAAACAGCGCTGAATGGAGAGAAGTGTTTCTCTCCATTCAGCGCTGTTTGCGCTCTGCTCCTCATAGCCGCCGCCTCACCATGTCCCAGCGCGGCGCTCCTGCTGGTACGTCGAGCTCGAGAGACTCGATTCTTGTGGTGCGTTTGGCGTGCGCCTCGGGGATGAAGGGCGCCTAAAGCCGAGTGGGGAGTGGAGCGTGCGCCAGCAGGAGCGCCGTGCTGGGACATGGCGAGGAGGCAGTGGCGGCTACGAGGAGCAGAGCGCAAACAGCGCTGAATGGAGAGAAACACTTCTCTCCATTCAGCACTGTTTGCGCTCTGCTCCTCGTGGCCACCGCCGCCACCTCCTCGCCATGTCCCAGCGCGGCGCTCCTGCTGGCCCACGCTCCACTCCCCACTCGGCTTTAAGCGTCCTTCATCCCCGAGAGAGACTCGATCCTTGTGGTGCGTTTGGCGTGCGCCTCGGGGATGGAGGGCGCCTAAAGCCGAGCGGGGAGTGGAGCGTGCACCAGCAGGAGCGCTGCGCTGGGACATGGCAAGGAGGCGGCATCGGTGGCTACGAGGAGCAGAGTGCAAACAGCCCTGAATGGACAGAAGCGAGTGGTGAGTGGAGCGCGGGAAGGGACTTGACCAGGGCAGCGGGCAGAGGGGAGGGTCGGCTCCGGAGGCGGAGGTGGCACTCAGAAGTGAGGGAGGGGGTGGTGGCGAGACGAGCCCAAAACAGTAGTCTGGAGAGCACAGCAGGCGACGAGGGGAGAGGCCGGAACAAAGAGAGAAGCAGCTGGGCAGCAGGGAAAACGAGGGGATTTCTACGATACGATGCAAAAAAAAAAAACCTTGCCTTGGCACAATGGGAAATAGTGACAAATTGATGCACAAAAGTAATTTGGGGCTCATGTTGCTTTGCGATCCTTGACGCTTAGAGAGATAAGTATGAAAGAATTTTTGATTCATTTATTTAACTTTAACAAAACGAACTACAAACTTAAACTCCACTGAAATAATTAGAGAGTACCTGTATACGCCGGAAAATACAGTACATATATTCCTCTGCCAAGCAGAGGAAGCTCAGCGGCAGGCCAGAGAGGAAACTTACTGTTTTTAGTTGTTTTCTCTCTTGCTTTCCGCTGCTTGCTCTCTCTCGCTTGTCCTTTGTATTGCTTTCCTCCACGTGCTCCGAAACCGAAACTTCCTAACTTTAAATAGAAAAAAGCTGCGCATGCGCAAGGAGGAGGGAGGCAGGAACGGCACTTTCTATATAGCCAAATAAGGAAGTAGAACAGTTAGAAAAGGAAAAAAATATGGCGGACAGCGGGGTTTGGCGACCCCCATGAAATGGTCGATCGACCCCAAATGGGGTCGCGACCCATAGGTTGAGAACCGCTGGTCTACATTCAAAAGAGATATAAGTCTGTAGTTCCTGTGCCGACATTTTGTAACAATAAAAGACTTTTAGGAAAATAATGCCTGGAAGTTCTTTGAAATGTTTCATTAGTCGGAACCATAACAGTGGAGCTGGGTTTTGGGCACTCAGTCTCTAAAAGGTTCGCCATCACTGCATTAGACCATTCCTCAGCATCAGAGTTGGCTGATATAACTTTTATTTTCTTAAGAGTAGCACAAAATGCTACTCTTACAAAAGAGGTGCTCCTGTCTACAAATAGCATTTGGGTTGACAACTAAATGCTTCAGTGTTGCAAATATGATATTACCCTTATCTGTTCCTGAAGGCAGAACATAGACTAAGGAAGAGGGATGCAAGACAGCTTCTTAGTATATGAAGCACTGCCATTCATTATTTCATTAAAAAATTACTCTCACTATAAACAACCAACCCAATATGTCCACTATGGGATAGCAAGATATAAATCATAAACTCTTTAAGCATCTCAAACATAATCAGCAGAAAATGTGGATTCTAATTCAATTGTTTTAGTAAAATATTTTTGACCAGCTTGTTTCTTATCCCAATAACAATATAGTATAAATATGTATTGTTTATACTATTATTACAATCAATTTGTCACAAATTACCTTCATTTTCAACAATTACTAAAGCAAATTAAGCGTTGAGAATTACAAGTTTATTTGCATTTTCCGTGGCTTTACCATAAATCAAAACAGCATTAGAACCTCTATAAATACTGAAGAACAGGACAAAAAAACAAGGGGGAGCAAAAAATAAATATTATCATTTTCCTCCCTCCAGCATATGTCAAAATCTGTCTGTACGTGAATGTTGTGCATTTGGAATATGAAGGTCTAGACAACAGTTTTTTGGGGGAAAGGGCAAGTCCCAACTCTGTTGTAAAAGCCAACATCTCCTCTTTCATTTTCCTTACAGGCATAACGTTTGGAAAACTCAGTGAGTAGAAATTATTCCACTTTCCTACCATCTGAAACAGAATGCCATGATTTATGCTACAGATGGGAAATAAATGTGTCTGCACTTTTTACATTTTATGCTACATTTAGAATATATTGTGTATGTCCTCTTAAAGCAGATGTGTGTTCCAGAGTAAATCTTAAATAGTACAGTTTTGTATTAATATTTTTATAAAGAGAGCAAAATATATATGAGATTAGAATGTCTGAAAACTGAATATCACAGCCAGCTCTGTCCTGTGCTACCATATCTGTGGTATCACAGATGGAGAGAGAAAAATATGGTTTAATAGCTGCAAAAAAAACTCTATTCAATGAATATTCCAGGCAAGGTTTTAAATCCTCTCAAGGAATAGCTGATTGGTTATGGGAAAGGAAAGGCCAGTTCAGTTTCTACACCATACTAAAGGCATGTCTCAAAATGTCCACACTGGCTCAGAAGAGAAAGTATACAAGGTAAAATTTACCTAACAGAATTCTTTTAAAATATTGTGTCATTTTCTCAATAAAGAGCTTAACTCTTAACTAAGCAATTTGCTTCCTAAGCTAATCATTTAAAGCAATCTGTCATAAACGGAACTTTTTTTGCAATGTTATTTATAAAATTCTTCATCCGTACTATAGTATATGACTACCTACCAATCTAAATTTGTTTGTTTGTTCTTATATCCTACCTTTATTGTTTTTATAAATAAATAAAAGCAGTGAAGATATATAATATTCTTTCCTCCTATTTTGTCCAAATCTTTCAACTCTGGGCAAAATGCCCAAATAAAATCAGAGATACAGAGATTGTTTTTGACAATGCTAATTATTTATTTGACCTCTGAAAACAGGCGTAGGATAGAAATCTTTTGTATTCCCTGCCTTAGACTTAATAAAATGTAACTTTCTTATTCTTCTCAGTGCTTTCAGCTTCAAAAACTTCAAGAGCTCCTGTTTGGGTTGGGATTTAGAAGAACAGTTTTTTAAACTGTTGTTCTAATGAAATTAAAATATTACAGAAAAGCATTCTGGAAATCATATGCTCTAGGACAGGAGGTAGGGAACCTTGCTCTTTTATGACTTGTGGACTTCAATACCCAAATTTCCTGAACCAGCAATGCTGACTCAGGAATTCTTGGAATTGAACTCCACAAGTCATAAAAGAGCCAAAGTTCCCTATCCCTGCTCTAGGACAATTAAGTTACTAAGCATATTTGCCCTTCTTATTTATTCCAAGTATAGTCGTCAATATTCTAAAGCTTAGTGCCATAGCACATGACTTGTGTTTAAAAGCACTCAGATTCAGTCTCTTGTCAATATTCTCAGTTATCCAACAATTCCAAGTTATTATTTAGATTACCATGCTATATAGATGCTGAGATTTATGATGGAGTCAATCATGACTCAAGTTCAATTCAAAAACAAGGTAAGTACTGGCAATAGCTGGTGTTGGATCATTTTACTAATTATACTAATTATATGGGTTTACTAATATCTATGTTAAACTATTCAATTTCAGGGTTGTTCATAGACTTGTTTAATTGTTCCTTAGATGTCAGGACATTGCTCAAATATGTCTACCAGCAAATGCCTGCTACAATTGTAACATGTTTGCAAACTCTAAGTAGAATTCTACCTAGTACTAATGTTGCTGCAAACACAGAAACAAAAATCACTATACATTTATTTTTATTTTTAGGTCACATTTATTTATTTTAGAGATATATTCTCCTTTTCCTCCAAGCATTCAAGATGGTATACATAGCACTTCTTAATTTCTCCAATTTTCTAATTTCTCCTTGTGGAAATCACCAAGACAGCTTCCATTATTAAAATGGAATTGGGGCTCATCAATTAATGCTGTGGTTAGTATTTTTTTAGAAAAAGATTAAAAAGGTAACATATCTCACCAAGAAATATATTATGGTGCATTTTTATGAAATTACCTTGCTCTGAAGATTCATGATTTCTTTTGCAAACACACTATCAATTGTAGCAGGCATTTGCTGGTAGAATGAGTTAGAAAGTTCTTTCTTAGCCTTTGCTTTGTACTTTGCCTGGAGGGCAAGAGAAAAATAAAGTAACAATTATTTTTTATAGATTAAGATGATATTCATTAAGAAAGTTTCATATTAAATTTTTCAACAATTAGATATAGAATAGATGTTTACCTAGCTGGGACCTAGACTAAATGCAGATTTGATTCTGCAGTTTCCATTCCACTATTAAAGGAATTATCTGTTTAGATGTATTTTTCAGCCTTGTTAAGATTCTGGATTTCAGTTACAAGAGTTGTCTAGCTAACCATGCCGACTGGGGAATTCTGAGAGTTGAGTTCAGACATCTTAAAGTTGCCAAGGCTACAAGATAATGGTTTAGAATATGAGTGTCAAACTCACCATGTCATGTGACGTATCGTGATTTATCGCAACTCTTTTTGCATTGCTGGCAATGGGGTGGGCCCAGTTTCAGTATGATGCAACCGGCCCATGGGCCAGCAGTTTGACAGCCCTGATTTAGAAAAATAGACTTTCCTAGATTTTGGGCAGGCCAAATTGGGTCTGTTTCTGTTTTTAAAAGCTACCATTTTCATAATAATAATAAATAAAATGAAACTAATTTGTCTTCTAATTTCTAAAACTACCTTTGAGAACAATTTAATCATTCCAACCAGTCCTCACAACATGAGCTTTTCTTAAATCCAATTGCCTATCTAATCAATCAATACCATATATTAAAACCTCAGCTCTATAAGGTGCATCTAAGTTGTTTGAGTTTCAACTGAATGTACTATAATTGTGTTGCACCGCAGCTAATTTTTAGATTAGCAGATCTTTAAGCTTAACATTTTAATGCACTTAAAAACAAAATAATATTAATTACCTGCCCCATTTCTTTGAAAAGCTTTTTCAAAAAAAATTCAGAGTAAATGAATTACATTTTTATTCTTTTTATTCTTTAAATGTATTAAACAATGATGCAATCCAGCTAGGGAACTTTGGTTGTTAAACAGAAATGAAAATACTTTAAATTTAAAAAAAACACTATGCCACAGTTAAATTAAATATAAGGGAAAAAAATCACAAATGACTAAATATTCTAATACTGTCATTCTTTCAATCCTTATCAGGTCATGCCCTGAACACAATTTTTTAATTCCACATTAACTTTGGTCTCAATGATGGCATCATGTCATAAAAGTAAATTGACTAAATAGTATCATAATATAATTCCATGAACTGTGTGACTCCTGACAAACTGGGACTTAATCAAGAGGAGGCATAATGAAAAAAATATGAGAAAAGAGAAAAAAGGACTGTGTTCTTGTGATAAGTGCTACTTTGTAAATCATAGAACCATCAATATAACAAATGAAGATTGCAAATGTTCTGCCTTACATCAGAAATAATAGCAGATATATTTTTCACATGTGTCAGCTGTGGAGTATCAGGCACAAGTGTGCACCTGCCTTTTGATTTTTCATATTCTTCTTTATAATGGACCTAAAGAGGATAAAAAAATGGGTTAAAAGAGGGAATAGAGAATAAAAGGAATTTTATTATGACAGGACCAAAGAAGAAAAAAGGAATATAACCTTGATTAATAATTCCTTATTAAAATGAAAGAGATGGATGTTTAATATAATTTAATTTTAACATTTTTTTTCCATAACTACAAGACCACCCAAGTTTAGGACAGCTAACAGATTTTAAATGACAGGAAAACTCATATAGATACAAGCCATGAAGTATTCATAATTATGGCCATTTTATCTGTGTCACTGAAGCATTTTGCTGCAGTGGAATAGCTGTAAGGGGATTACCCTAATATTAAATCATGCATATAATGTGTCCCTTGAAAGAAGGAAACCTAACTTCATGGGATTCTCTTTCTTTGTTTACCATTCTATTAGCACAAATCACAAATCTTGAATAAAAATATGATTTGTATCAAATAGAGTGGTGCACTAACAGATGGAATAATTATTGAAGGAATTAATCTTCCATTGCAACTGACATGTCTTTAAAGCCATTAGATGCTTGCTACTGCAATGATAACTGGGTATGGACTGATGAGCATTTCTCTTTTTTCAATGTAAGAAATAAATCCTCACTCAAACTTTCTGTTTCCTCTGCAGCACTGCCTGCAGCAGATGACAGGAGGGTTCAAACTGGAAGACAATATTGCAACACCACAGCTCAAGCCCCACCCGTTCAGTATATTCATTAGCATGTTGTTTATACATACAAAAGAGGCGAAGCTTGTGCTACCACACCGATTTCATCATTTTGACATAAGTAACAAAATGCTGCAAATGTGACATTTGTCCTTGAGGTACAATGCATTAGTATTACTATTCAATGACAATGTATTAATTGCAGTGCTCTCACAGTGGGGGGGAGAAAATCAAGGCATATTTTAAATTCACCTCTAGATTAGTGGTGAACTTTAAAGAAACATATTTTGCCCTGTAGCTAAAATCTACCCCCTTCAGAGAATAAGATGCAACGCTTGAGTCAATGCTAGGAAAAGAGAGGGTAAGCAAGGACATATTAACATTTTTGTGATTGCCACCAAGATTGTGCTGGCTGAAATCCAACAGAGTTCCATTAAGCCAGAGCAAAGAGCTTTGGAAAAAATCAATGGCCTATGGGCAGAAAGCTCTTCATGAAAGGTGATTATTTGTTTCATATTATTCATACTAGTCCTGACAAGCTTCCAATTCTTTATAAGCAATAAACACAAGAACAACAATCACTATCCTACCAGGCTCACTAAAGTACAGAATTATGTGAAGCAATTGCCATTGAAATTAATGGAACATGAAAAAAGGGAAGGAAGAAAGTAAATGCTACTTTAAGTTGCTTATCAAGAAGTTAGCATTATTGTTCCTCTATAACTATTAACAGCTCTGCAATTCAGACTAAGGTCAAAGGTATGTCTTCCTATCCACAGTGATGCTACATTGATGTATTACAATGTCACACTTGCAAGCTCTGTCTTTTCATAGTTGTGATACGACATTATATGCATATTTTATCACTTGTCAACCTCACTCTCCTCTTGCATATGCCTACAAGTAGTCTTCAATTTATGATCACAAATGGACTGGAATTTCTGCCATGTTGGTACAATCATAATGGACCAAACCCAATGTTATGACCACTTTTACCATGGTTGCTAAGTGAATCACCCTGGTTATTAAGTGAATCCAGTTTCCCCAATCGACTTTGTTTATTGGAAGCCAGTTAGGAAGGCCACAGATTCACATGACCACAAGAACATTGTAAATGTGAGCTAACTGCTAAGCACTCAAATTGTAATCTCATAACCATAAGGATTGTGTAATAGTCATACTTTCAAATCAACATTAAACGAATGATCATAAATCAAGAATTACTTGTGAAACTCTGGCTACATAAAGCTGGAGTCGATACAAAACTATTCTCTTTCTTACAAAGATAAATTACAAACAACTCAAAATAGCAAAAAGCCAAAGCAACATTGCGTAAACCAAACAAGGATAATTGACAATCGTGGTTTCCATTTGCTAAAGCATTCCCAATTAATCAAGTAACAATTACTCAATAAAACATAATAAAATTAAATTTAAATTAAAAAGGTTAGACAAAAAAATGAGAGGAATGCATTAATGTCTTGATTCTGCAATATTCATTTGTGGAAAATTATGAAAGAATGTGAATTATTTTAAAATTAATCTAAATAGTTTACTAAAACTTTTAAAACTGACATGAACAACCGTTCTCTTAACTATGTCTAAATTAAGTATATCAATTTAAATCACGATTTAAAATTTTAGATTTTTTTAATGCTATAATCAGAATAAACAATTAAATTAGAAATACAACTGGCCAGAAGGAGATAATATTGCAAAGATCTGAAAGTCAGAATTCTTAAAACACCTAGGAGTATTTTAAATATCTTTCTCTTTAGCCAAAAGGATTCCAATATGCCAATATGTTCTGAATAATCCAGGATAGGATAGGATAGGATAGGATAGGATAGGATAAAGGGAAAGGGTATAAGCCCAATTACAAAATATTAGGGAAAAATACAGATACTTTGAATAATACATTCAAAGTATACATATCTTACCCCATATTTAAGGGGTTCCTAAATAGGCATTTGTAAGTATACTAACATGCCTATCGTCCCTATCACATTTTAATTTTTTTTTTCATTTTGCTTGTCTGAATTTGTAATTTTCATTGACGAATAAATAAAATAAAATACAAAAAACATTTTAGTATCAATTTTGTTCATTTCTTCTTAGAGCAACAAATATATCTGAAGCAATATTTACATATCTAAATCTCAGAAAGGGAGAAGTGTTATCTAATGAATTAAACTAGCACTAAAAATCTTACTTACATTACTTATTATCTCTGTGCATTTTCTTGCAAGTTCCATGTTTTTATCCTCAATGACAGGTTTAAAGAATACCTAGGGGGAAAGTATTTGCAAAAGTAAGTACAAATCAGAAAATAAATCTTTTCACACTTTAAAGAATAGATCACATCCACCTACTCTTACATCCTCCTCTTCTTCATCCTCCACCTCTTCCTCATCTTCATTCTTTGAAGATTCCTGAAAAATCATTCTCATTTTTTGTTCTTTTAGAAAGATGGCAAGGTTCGGTAATGAAGCAGCTTATGCCCTGTACCCTTTGAATTCCTTGTGTCAGTCTGGTCTCATGGCTAACTTCATCTCACTGAGGTTTCTTCCTTATTTAGGCAATACTTGAAAGTCTTATCTGAACAATGTAGCATGAAGTGAAAAGCATCAGATGTCCTTCGGGTAAACATTCTTGAAAAACAGCCTTCCCTAGCTTGATGCCCTTGAAATTTATTGACTCTTGAGCTTCCTATAATTCCAAATAAGTAGAGCCAAAGATTATGTTTGGCATGACATAGGAAGTGACCTCTTTAAAAACAAAAAATATTGTTTTGCAATTAGTTTAAATGTCTGAAGATCTGTTTATAAATTATTAAAATAAGATGGTTAACAAATCATTAGCAATTTGCTAAAGTTGGGACAGGTGGTCCACAAGTTGCAACCATAATTTAGCCCAAAATGTCTGTTGCTAAGCAAAACAAGTGAATTTTGCCACAGTTGTTAAGTAAATCACTGCAGTTGTTATGTTTGTAATACAGTTGTTAATGAATCTGGGTTCCCCATTGACTTTGATTGTCAGAAGGTCATAAAAGGTGATAACCCTGGGACACTGCAACCATCATAAATATGAATCAGTTGCCAAACATCTGAATTTTGATCACATGACCATGGGGATACTACAATGGTTGTAAATGTGAAAAAAGTTCATAAGTTACTTTTTTCAGTGATGTTGTAACTTCAAACTGTCACTAAATGAACTGCTGTAAGTCAAGAACTACCTGTAATCAGAGCTAAATCATTAGATAAGCTTCTTCAGGCCTTTTTTTCTCATAGAACACCCAGAACGGAGTTCCGGCACCTTTTTTGGATGGAACCTTGTAGGGTAGGCAAGGCGGGTTGTATGACGTGTGTGAGTTCTGGCACCTTTTTTTTTTTTTTAGAAAAAAAGCACTGAGTTTATTAATGATCTGCAATTTTTTTTCTCCATTACAGAGAAGAGTTGCAAACCTATAAACAAACATTACTTTACAAATATTTCTAAAAGTGTACTTGAATTGTTCAGTATCAAAGATTATTGTAACAAAAGCTTATTTACATAAGCAATTCATAGAATGCAAGTTTTTCAGAATAACTTTGGTTCTGCAACTGGGACACCTGTTAAAAATGCTAGAATATCTTGCATTGTTATCATAATTAAAATATCAGCTCCGCTGCTCTCTCTCATTCAGATGAAACTGCTAAGTCTGCTTATATTTATTTTATTTTTATTTTTTTGAGATTGGCCTTCAGAATGAAAATATTATTCTAGAAAAAATTCAGTATATGTTAATGTTAACAGTGCAGTAACTTTTTTTTATCCATCTTATACATTCTTCATTTCGCCTCATGATAAATTCAGCAGTTTGCATGTTCATAAGATAGTTGTTCATTAATTCATGGAAGCACTGGATCTTGTTGAAGTAATGTGATATACAATGAACTGAAAAATGTAATAACTAGCAATAATTAGGCAAAAAGTTAGGTTCCCTACTAAGAATAATTTTCAATAAGGAAACATGGTTACCTTGACAACTGGGACAAGATGATAAATATGGCTCTTTTCTTCAGTCTCCTGAAAAACATAACCCTATCTATGCCTTGTCAAATATCTATTTTATAATGTCCACATGACATTCCAAAAGACAACATTGCTGCAACTCTACCATACAGTTAAGATATTAAATGGTTTAAACTGTTATTAGATGTTGACAAAAAATGTACAGCCTAAAAACTATTTGTGTAATTTTTGTTTTTCATCTCCCACTTAGCATGTTTTGTTTTGAAAGTCCTTAATCAAAGTGCATGAAATATTAGATTTCACAGCTGACAAACATCTGTTCAGGAATATATTTGGCATTAGCTTAAGATATTATAAACACCAAAAGTATTCTAACTGACCAGATTTTTTTCTCAAAATGGTGCTCCAAAATTCCTAAAAAGATTAAAGCTGAAGGGAATTTAAACCCCCCCTTCTTTAATGAACCATTTTCCTTTCAAACTTCTATTCCAACGTCTCATGAAACTTTATAGCAGGGATGTGTAGAAGAGGCATTTTCAATGAGGGGGCAAGGGGTTCAAAATGGTGGGCACCCAGCCTGAAATCCAAAGAGTTAAAATCATAAGAGTATGTCTGTCACTTGTTTACATAATTAAAATTGAAAGAAAGGTTTAAATTAGATTTTAAAATGTATGGGTTTACTTTGACTCTTGAAATTATATTGTGTGGTAACGAACTTGTGGACAAAAGGTTTAAAATTTATATTGTAACTGAAAATCATGTACTGTTGGTATTTAACATCTGATAAATTATCAAAGATACATAAATTTCAAATGTATACTGGAAATGTAAATGTAAAGAAAGAACTTTTTACCATCTTTGGTGGAGTTGTAATAAAGCAATTATGGGGTAGGATTCATGTTTTTATACAGAAGATTCTTAAAGTGAATATAAAAATCAAACCAGAGACTTTCATTTCAGTGTTAATGGACAAAGAACTTGAAAAAAATCTGGAACGTTGCTGTTATATATGCTGATTGAAGCAAGAATGGTTTCTGCACAAAGATGGAAAGATATTTTAATACCCACAATGAATGGCTGGAAAAACTGATGGAACTAGCACAGAGGGCTAAATTAACTGCTTTAATCAGAAAAAAGAGCTTTTGAATTTTGTTTCTATTTGGAAACCATTGCTGGTTTTTGTACTTCAGTTGAAAAAAAAAAGAAATTTTGACTTTGGATTTTGCTGATTAGATAGTTTGTTGTTATAGAAATAGCTAGCACATATTAAGTATGTAAAAGAAAAAAGTTGAGACTGTAATGTTACAATTTTATTCTATTTTGCTAAAAAGAGTTGGAAACTAATGGTTTTCTTTCTTTTTCCCTACACTCCTTTGTGCTGAAATTGTGCTTGATATTTTGGTCCAGCCAACTAAACAAGATAGAATAAAAAACATAAATAGAATTTGGACTGTCATAGTGTTTCTAATGCTTTTAAATTTAACAACAAAATCTGAAATTAAAGATTATAAAAGATTTCACAGCTGTATCCGGTTGACTATCTTTAGGCTGAAAATAAAAATTAGGGAATTTTCTAGTACTATAATATCAAAAAGAAAAGGGAATTGGCATAATTGTTTATGCCATGGATACAAGGTATAATGAATCATATTTGGGCTACAGAACACAATGCTAAAAGCAAAAGAAAAACATTTTTACAAAGCAATTACTTAGAAGGCAGCATCATTTTTAAAGTATAGCATTGTAATTATTTAAATTCTTAAAGAACTATAATTGTGGTGCTAGAAATGCATTATTTAGTATCAAGATGTATAAGATACTCTAAGCTAGAAAAGCAAAAGCAAAAATATTCCCAAAAATTTGTCAAAAAAGATAAATATTACATTTATATTTCAAAATATGAAAAACAAAATTGGTTTAATCATAGTAGACTGGGAGAAGCTTTCATGAGGTAGATGAAAAGTTCAGAAGAGAAAAAAAACTAACTAACCTTAGTAGCAGGCTTTTCTGATTACTAAAAATTGTATGACTAGGAGAACAAAAGCCTAGCATGAATATAAAGTTATTACGGTAAAATTAAAAATAAGGGAGAACAGATAAAAAGATATAAAATACAATCCAAAATAAGCTACAAACTAAAAAGATAATAGAATAGATTTTTTTTTCAAACCAGAAGTTTATTTATTAATGTTAACATATTCAGACTGTCACCAGAAAGTTAATTTCCAGGAAAGCTAAGGGCATAACCGGGATGAGCTTTTAGGCTTTTATCACTATGATGATCTCATAGCTTGCCTTTAAGATATTTTTTTTTAAAAAAAAAAAACTAATGCAATGACTGCTTGAATCTGTAACAGCAAACTTTGTGTATTTTTCTAAAGCAAAAAGAGAGTTTTAAATCTCAGCACAAGCCTGAAGTTAATAATCTGTAAATCAAAATGGCATGGGCCTTGCCAGGAGAGTAGAGACGGAAACTAGGGAATCAGCCACATTGGGCTTAATTCTCACTAAAAGAGACGAAATGATAGAAGGTGTTGAAGCCACAGGAATCTTGGGGGAGGGAGTGATCATGCAATATTGGAATTCAACATTATGCAAGCACAAGCAATAGAACATAGTCAAACTAGACTTTTAGAGAGCTAATTTCAATAAACTTCGAGAGAGCTTGGGAAGGATTCCAGCCTAGCATAATACCAATGAAGAAGAAAAATAACAGCTCTCAAAAGAAACCAGCATGGCTGCATAAAGAACTCTCTAATAAATTGAAAGACAAATAGGACAAGTATAAAAAGTGGAAAGAGGGGCACATAGCTAAGGCAGAATATCAGCAAATAGCCTGAGCCTACAAAGATGGAGGAAAGCTAAGGGTCAAAACTAAGGCTTGAGACAAAAGTCAAAAATAACAAAAAAAAAGCTTCTTTCAACATGTAAAAAACAAGAAAAAAGTTAAGGAAATGATTGGTCCATTAGTAAGAGAAAGTGGCAAGAAGATGACAAGCAAGAGAGAGAAAACAGAACTACTTATTTTTTGCATCTGTCTTTACACAAAGGGAAAAAACAGTCCAACCTATCAAAAACAGTACCGTAAAAAAATCCGTCTTTACACAAAGGGAAAAAACAGTCCAATCTATCAAAAACAGTATTGTAAAAAACAGATTAGAAACCCAAGATAGGCAAGAAAATGGTAAGTGAGCACCTATCTACCTTAGATGAGTTCAAATCACCAGGACCAGATGGATTACACCCCAAGGTTCTGAAGGAACTGCCAAATGTAATCTTAGAACCACTGAACTATATTTTTCAAAGAACCTGGAGCACTGGGGAACTACTAGAGGATTGGAATAGAGCTGAAGTAGTTCCCATCTTCAAAAAAGGGAAAAAATGTAACTACAGATGTATCAGCCTGACCTCAATGCCTGGGAAGATTCTGAAAAGATAATCAAGCAACGAATCAGCGAACACTTAGAGGCAAACAAAAACAAACCTAACATGGGTTTGTCAAAATCATGCCAGACAAATCATTTTGCATTTTTTGACCAGGTGACAAAATTAGTGGACCAAAGGAATGCTGTGGATATAATTTACTTGGACTTCAGTAAGGCATTTGATAAAGTAGAACACGATCTACTACTTGATAAGATAGAAAAATGTGGGTTAGACAGCAACACCACCAGATAAATTTGTAGCTGGCTGACTGGCCACACTCAGTGTGTGGTCCTCAATGGAACTGCATCTACATGGAGGGAAGTGTGTAGTGAGGTACTCTAGGCCTCTGTCCTGGGCCCAGTACTCTTCAACATCTTCATCAATAATTTGGATGAGGGATAGATCGGGAACTCATAAAATTTGCAGACGACGCCAAGCTGGCAAGAATAGCCAACACTCCAGAAGATAGGCTTATGATACAGAAGGATTTTGACAGACTTGAACAATGGGTTCTTTCTAACAAAATGAAATTCAATGGTGAAAAAAGTAAGGTTCCACATTTAGACAAGAA